ACATGAAGAACCTGTAAATTTGTACAACATTACAGCAGAGCAACAGATATCTTACAGTTCAGCTTTGTACATCAAAAAACACTATTTATTGAAGAACATGAACTCTTTGCTAAACACAAAAGTACTAAAGTATTCAAATAAAATCCTAGAACACTTCAAAACTTGAGAACATTGACCAATCCACTTGGGGCCCTAAAGAGCAGAAGTTTGTCTTGTTTTATCATTATTAGCTCTAAAAGCAGGTGTAGCTCAAGAATATAAACCAGCACATTTGAATCTCCTTTTTTTGCCAGACCTGGTGGAAGATTTACAACTTAGCTAGATTAGTAACATCATAGATAACCAAACACCTCTAAGCAAAAACTGCCAAGGCTAAAATCACTAAATTGTTAAGTTTTAAAAAGTATGAAACTGAAAAATTTTATTTGCATTTTCAGACAAAAATGTACTTAAGGGCTGAAAAATTATTCCTAACAAGAAAACAGGACAAGGAAATAAAACATCACTAGTAATACCAATGTATTGGTAACAAAAAAACCTTCATGGACACAAAATTACCTGCAGAGTTTCATCTCTTGGAGACCTGGAATACCTCTTCTGGGGTGTTGATTGGAGAGGATATTCAAACCTGAAAGGTTTAAAATACAACCATTTTTGCCAAATAGCTGATGATAAATCCCCATGATCCAGAAAAAAGGCCTAGGAATAGTTGTCCTCTCCCACCAACACACACATCTCCTTTTTAGAGGCTTTAAACACTACATAATCTTCTAAATGTCCCCCTAAAACTGACTGTTCTTGAAGTACAACCAAGACGTCTCTAGACAGTTGTGTCTTTGTTGGTTTAGCTTAGTGTAAGTGATAAAACCCCAATATATCTCTCTCTATATTATACATTACATTGTATGTGCATTATACATTCTATAATTACATGGATTGACAAAGATATGTAAGAATTTATAAAGAAATATGAAATAAGCTGTGCTGATTGGCATTCCAGGATGGAGTACTGAGCAGTTTGTGCTTGGAACCCACCTGAAAGAACGATCAATGATGGTTAGCACATCCCCATGCTGCAGCAGCACAGGCTGCTCACAGTAC